AATAAAGCTTATTCTCAAGTAAATGTGCAAATAATGTCATGAGGTGCATTAGAATCCTCTGTTTTTTTTTGTACACTACTAGTACTAAATTATTCATTTTCTCTGTTGTTATTTTTCAGTTCTGTATTCCTGCATTTTTGTTTTCACCAGTATACTGTTGTGCATGTGACTGATGCAATAAAACCGTCTGTATGGACAGGTGTGGTGTGCACTAAGTTGAAGCTTAGGGGCTCCTGATGAAGGTGTTGGCTGGTTTTCCTACCCTGAGGTTCGTAGCGAGGGTTGAGCACAGCAGGCAGACAAAACCTCAGCCCTTCATCAGCCTGCACAGCCAGCTCAATGACGTACTCCAGCCTGATGGAGGCGCTCTCTCCTGGAGGCAGACTGCCCACACTCAGAGAGAATATATCTGGACTCTGCTCACTCTCCTCCAGCAGGAAGGCCTGCTGACCGGAGCTCAAAGCATCGTCATACTCCTCACGAGCCTGAAACACAGATGACACATGTGAGCAACGTATGCTGTGTTTTAAAGCTCCTCCGTCAGTAACTCTTTAGTGTCCAGCTCACCTCCTGTTTCTCCTTCACCTCAGCTACAATGTGTGTCTGTCCAATCTTAGCACTGAAATGACAGACAGCAGCATCTCCAGGCAGAGGGAAGACAAAAACAGCCTCTAGTGGTTTGTCCTCCTTGTTCTCATAGTTCAGAGTGGAGACCACTGTAGCCACATGGTCCCTCACCTCCAGCTCCACCTCCACGCTCTTCAGAGGAACTGACCGACAAACAGAAGGACACGCAATGAACACAGACCGTGTGAAAACTTCTTTGTGTTTTGTGGATGACAAAATTTGCAAATGGTTGATGGTACCTAATTAAAGTCCCTGAATTTATAGATTTAATCATTCACCTCTAGAATAAATGTGTAGCTTTTCATATTCAGGGTTAGATATGTTAGATATCTTGAATATGTTTGTAAAAGCCCCTTCCTGCCATGAGGCTCAAACACAAACCTTTACATGGACAAACACACACCACAATCATTCTTGCACATGATGTATGAATTGTTTATGTTTTCAAACAGCATCTGTACCTGGTTCCTTATTTATATTGAGCAGACCACAGCAGTTCACCATCATGCCTGTTCAACAGGTTACACTGTCAAGGAAGCTATAGCTGTAAAAGATAAGATAAAATAAAATAAAATAAAATAATGGGAAAGGAAATTAAACTCTGTTATGCCAACATTCACTGCATGGCAACCATTGTACATGTTGTGACGCCATGCATGTTCATTGCAATTTCCTAAAACTCTCTTTTCATATAAGTCTAATTAGCTACATGCAAGTAGCTACATGTTCATATGATGAGTTACGCTTTCTAATTTAGCTGGTGTGTGTAACTTCCATAAACACCTGTAGCCTCTACATGTTTTATTTATTTATTTTTGAAACCTGTGGGTTTGTTTGTTCAATCTCTCTCGCCAGGAATTATGGATCATTACTGTAAATGCAGAGTCTGCATGAAACAAAGTAGAAAGATAACAGGAGGAGTGAAACAAAAATGTATATAAAAGCAGCATTTTGTTCACCTGATGTATGTGTATAACACACTTGGTTTAAGTGTATAATCCAATCATTGAAACAATACAGGTGCCTACCTCAGGAGTAAGTGTCCTCTGCTGCAGTAAGCGTCTGGATATCAAATACGGAAGGCTTCCGGTTAAGGTTGTGCAGTCAAACCCATGCCACGCCTACAGTTTAAGCACCTGGCAGGTGGGGTTTTCCCGTCACAGGCCATACAACCCTTTCATAACATACTCAGGAATGCTGCTCGGCATGAAGTCACCCGCACAGCTGTTGACGGCATACCGGTTACGTATGTTTTCGTCTTGAAATGGGTAAAACCCCAACACAAACAAACTTATTTAGTTTTGTACGGTTTCTCGCCTGTGCGCATGCACAGTCTGATCTGCAGTGTTTACTTAATTACCTCGTGGGAGCATGCAGATTACAAAAAAAAGCTTGTTAAGTATATTATAAATTGAAGTTAGGATTTTATTGTCATATATGAAATTTGGCATTTAACCCATCCCTAGCTTATTGGGAGCAGTGGGCTGCTGAGAAGCACCCGGGGAGCAGTTGAAGGTTCAGTGTCTTGCTCAGGGACACTTTGGCAGGGGACATGTAGCGGCCAAGGATTGAATCACTGACCTTGCGTTTACCGGACAACCCTCTCTACCCATTGAGCCACGGCTGCCCCAATTGAGAATTTAGGTACAGTTTCAGGAAATTTGAAGAAAGAAAATGGTTGAACAAGTCAATGACGGGCATGACGATCTACAGGGATAATAGTCTTAAAGATACTATTCTTCATTTCCTACCAAGAAAGTAAACTAGCTTTTCACTAACTCTTGGTACAGCTCAGAAGCTGTGCACTCTTATTATTAAATAAATACTGTCTGCAGCAAAACCAAGTAGGAGGAATTATCAACACTAAAACAAACTGGGTTTACAGCAGTTGAACAGGAAACATTCACTAACCTCATCTGCAGCTGGCATCCAGTAAATGATAGGTTTGATAGATTAGTTTTCCCCACCGGATACTCCCTCCAGGGCTAGTCACACTCATGGAGTTACATGCATTGCACCCTGTCTTACTGGTTTTTTACCCATTCTTCCCCGACTCTATAGTGCTGTGATGCTGTGCGGTCAAGCCTCCCACTGACCTACTTTCACTTTCTGAATGAAAACAAAAACATTTTTGTAGTTTGCAAAGGTGTTGCAAAGAAACGCAACATGAGCACAACACTTCCTGCGTCAAAACTTTCACATTCACTCCTTAACTAAAACAGGATGAAACATTTTTAAATAGTTTATTTTTTCATAAGGTAGTTGAGAAACCTACCAGAACTAAAGCCCTGACACAACAGAGTACCAAAACTGAAAAATACACCAATCCTTCACCTCTCCTTCTTTTACAACATTCAATCCAACAAACTGAAGTTCAACACTGTCCCTAGCGTTGGCTAGCAACTGATGGCCTTCTTTGGATTGTCACTAGAAATGTGGGGAACTAGGGAGACTTGCAGTTGTAAAACACAGTTTTTTGGTTTTGTGAGGAAAAGAGAGAGTGATGGATGGAGGGCAGAGGGGGGGGGGTGGGGAAAGCGCAAGTGGAACACCCTGGCCAGTAATGTATGCGGGCCTATTGTGGTGAATCAATGCACCGTGCTATAATGGGGGGTAAGGGGGGTACAAGGCTGTAGGGGAGCTATGACGACATGTCTTCTGCCTCATGGCGTGCCCCCCAATGCTAGGAAACGCACCCGAAGCCACCTCAGTGTCAACTAGTCTCTTATCCGAGTTAAACAGTGCTTCTTCCGTTATTTTTCTTTCCCAGGAGCTGGCCAGAGGCAAGAGCCCAAGGACAGACAAACGTGAAGACTGAATACTTTTGCTACACAGACAGGATTGCTGCGATACTGTGCACAGTTTCCTCTGCTGACAGGTTGCGGTGAGAGTCCATCACATGAACAGGCATGTGTGGTCTCTGCTAAATGCTGTGGTGTCTGAACAAAATCAAAAAACAAAAGAAAGTCTACCATGATGAACTGAGGTGAGCACATCTGCTTTTTATTTTGTGTAGAAATCTGCAGCTTTAAGCAAAAGTTTGCAGTTGCCTGTTAATATGCAAACCATAATTAAAAAAATGTACTCAGCATGCGCTAATTTTGTAATTTTGTAATTTTTGTTCAGTGTTAGCGATTAAAAAAAAAATTGTCTGAACATTCCTCCATTATTGCACCATGATGAAGGAGAAGTTGTACACCATAATATGCTGTTTTAGTCCGTTGATGGGCAAACTCAGCAAAAGATGAGCAGTTACGTTAAAACATGTTAAAATACATATTATATGTATATTATAAATAAATAATCAGATCAGATAATGCATCACTCCTGGAGAATGAGTGAAAGGACGAGTCTTTTTGCTCTTCATTCAAGGAACCACGCCAATCACTTTCAACTGCTCTGCTGAATGCAGGCTGGCAGAGTGGAGGGAGCAGTTGTTTATAGGCCTCACGCTTTGTTTTGGTGTCAGCCTTGTGAAAGCACAGACTATGAGAACAACACCAGAGTATTGTAATCTGAATAAAGATGAGAAAAGAACAATAGTGGCTTCTGTACAGACAAAGCTGAGAGAAATGTGGGGAGGGATTTTTTTGGTGGGGGGAGTTAAGGAGTGGGTGATGACATGAGGACACATGGATGACTGACACAAAATGATCAAATAAGCACAAAACACTGCTGAACAATAGGGGTCAGGTCATTTCATCCATTTAGCAAGCGGGAAATGCTTTTCACATCTCGTTAAAGAACTCATTTGGTAACGATTGTTCAGCTCAGCTAAACGTCTTAATGTTTGAGCTACAACATTTTCAACATGCTTTTCTAAAAGAATAATTACTGCCTAAAAAATGAAAAATAAAGCATTCACTAAAAACTTAAAATAAGTTTTATTAAAGCTGCCTTTGTTAATATTTTTATATGAACGATGGATCAAGTGACTATGTGTAATGTGACTTCCACAGCTGTACCATGTCTGTTCATTTTTACTGCTCGGCAGCAGCTGATGGCGATTTTTAGTAAAAACCACCAGGATGAAGTGACTTGTGGGACAGGCAAAGATAGCAACTAGCTGCTAAACATAATGGAGAACTTAGAAGCAAGAAGTTGGTGGAGAGTAAAATAGAGCTAAAAGGAGACTTAACATTAGACTGTGTCAGGTGTCCAGAGACACACAACTCCATTGAATGCTAATATTTTTCTGCGTCTGCTCTGCTGCACGTGTAAATGGCAGTTGTTTGTCACCATATCAAAACAATTTGGGTTTTTTCATGATATGAATGATATAAATTATTGGTTCATTCTAAGCTATGCATTGCATTCTAATTTAAAAGTTAGCCTTTGCCTTCTGCCATCACTGTTCAGTGGCATCAAATTGGATACAGTGTGTTTTGTATTGAAGGTGATGGCAAAAAAACATTTGATTTATTTTATTTCATGCAGGTAGATCTCTGCAGGACACGATGTCACAGGACAGAGGAAGATTCTGGGACGGGAGTGGAAAGCCGGTGTTTATTCTGGCTTATCTTCTCGTCCTGGCTTTGCCGTGCATGGGCTTCCTCCCCAACTTTTGGTCACGAGTGTTAACGCTGTCTTTGAACTCGCACACACACCAGCACATCACAGAGCAGGCCATTCTCAACGTCACCATGGAGACTCTGAGGGGCATTAAAAACCACCAGGGGAGCCATGCAGAGGAAGAGGTGAGCCGATATTTACTTTACATGGACATGAAAATATCTACTTTTTACTATTACATGAGAGCTTTATTGTATTATCTTAACAGTTTTAATGACGTTTTTTGAGCACATCTCATTAAAATTATGATAATAACAAAAATCAGCCTGTATCCCTCCCAGACCAGACTGGGCCGTGGCTTCTGGAGAGCCGTGGGAGAGGTGGTGAAGTCCAATGCGGCCATGGACTTCTTGAGCTCCACCAGGTCGGACCCGGTGTACCACTTTGATTCAGAGCGTGTGGACAGCTCCATGGGGATGTTGCGGCAGTTCTGGGCTCAGACTCTGCTCTCAGTACGAGCCAAAGAGTACCAGAGTGCCCGGCACAGCTTGGGACAGCTATTTCACTCCCTGCAGGTACACAGCACCGTAAAGAAGGGTCCGATGATGTATGGATGAGGAGAGCAGTTCGTACCATGCTTCCAGTTGTTGGCCTCTTGTGGGAGCATAAAGCCTAACAATTGGCCACAAAACAAACTCATTGCTCAATCTTGGAAGTACAGGAACCTTTAAAACATGTCAGAATATTACGGGAATTACCCAACAATAGGCACTCATAAATACAATAGCGTTTTTAAATGCAGAAGGAAAACAGATGTTTCACACTTGTCTTGATTAGGGTTGCAAAATTCCATGAGTATTCTTGGTGGAAACTTTCCATGGGAATTAACAGGAATTCTGTGAGATTTTAAAGGAAATAATGGGAATAATTTGGAAATATCCTCAGGCTGTATTTACCATGTCATATGCAGATAGAAACATACCTTTTACCATATCATAAGCAAACATAATCCATTTTTTTGCCAAAGAAATCAAGTGTTAATTTGTCAAATACATACTACGGGAAATGTGCCATGTGGTGAGTTAGCTAGCTGGCAAGTTAACTAAAGGGGAAAACTAGCAGAAACTTACTTACTTAGCAAAAACTAGCAGAAGGTGAAGTTATAAACTGTGTACTTTGCTTTCTTCTATTCTGAGAGCATGTATTCTGTTTGTGAGCTGCACATGTGACGGGAGAATGCACTGTGCATTGTACTGAATTTCATGCAGACAAATGATCTGTAAAAGTGATTGTGCTGCTAAATGCAGTACAAGTTTCAATTCAATTAAATGGCCATACATTTAACCAAAACATGACATAAGACCGATTGCATTTTTATGTTTCTTTTCCTTTTATAATAAAAATGGTCCCGCATGAACTCAGGTTGTGGTTTTCCAGCCTTTTAAAACATCATTCTACATGTGTCACACTGCTAGCATGGATACCAACTTGTATGTTGCAATGGCTGAAATATTGCCATGATATTAAAGTCAATATGCGCTGAAATAAACTTATGTAATGTTTTGCCTTTCAAATTTCTGTTACGCCCAGGACTTTTACAGCCACAGTAACTGGGTTGAGATGGGCCAGCGCTTCATTTACCTCCACCTGCTGCAGCCAGAGGAGCCTGCCATCCCTGTGGCTGCAGGTAGTTCTTCACATCTGTGATCACACAGGCACCGACCTGATTGTGTAATTGTGATTAACATCGTGATAATGATTTGATTTCAACCATCGCCCAGCCCTAACCTGCAGACACAGGGGCTTTTCCAAATGGGTTCCTTATACGCGAGACATTTATTGTCCTCTTCATCAAACAGCACCACATTTGGAGTCATAATACTGTATTCTCTGCTCCTTCACATGTACTTTTTACTGTCGTGTAATTTAGGATTTTTTTTTATCTATTGCAGAATATTGTGATTATCTAAATCAACCTAGGTCTGAAAAGTTCGACACTTGTAGCCTAAACTGCAAAGTACCAATATTCTCTTGTGTAAATTAACAGTAATATGTTCTTAAAATAAATCAAGGTACAATAAAAAAATTTTTAAAAATAAAAAAATAAATAAATCAAGGTACATATCTTTCAGTTTAAGATAATTGTTATCACTTCAGAGAAATGGGGGTGGAAAAGAATCAATAAAGTGTTACGGTTAAGTTAATGACCTAAATATAACCCAACAATCTGAGTTTGAGCTGCAACGATTAGCTGATTAATCCATCGGTCAATCAACAGAAAATTAAATCAGCATCTATTTTATTAATTAATTGTTAAAGCCATTTTTGAAGCACATTCTCTGAATCCTGCTCAAATGTGACAATTTGTAAATGGCTTGTTCACCGTTTCTTATATTAAATGATAAATTGAAAATAATTGGCAGATTCATTGATAACAAAAAAACACTTGTCAGTTGCAGCCCTGATCTGAAGTATATCCAACATTTATGATGGCTATCGTGACTGTATAGAGTTGTAGGTACATCTTGGTATATCATACCAAATCTCACATAATGAACTTTATACAAAAGATGTGGCCTTCAATCCCAAAACCCAACCCATACACCCAATTCCCAAACAAAGATAATATTATGATAGCAGTATTTACGTTTAAAAAGAGATTTACTACTGCAGTAATGATTGGGAGCTTTAATGGGCCTCAATAACAATACACTAACCCCCTCGTCCTGTCTGTCCACAGAAGACACTCCTACCTGTATGGAGTGCTTCAGTGCCACCTGTCGAGACAACCTCCTGGCAAGAATGACAAACGGACAGCAGGAGACCCAGCTGCTCACCACTGGCTACTTCAGCACTTTCCCTCCAAAACCTCACGGTATGTACGTGAAACTTCAGCCACCAATAGCTGCAGTCCTGCCAAATAAAGCAAAGGGATATATGTACACTCAAAGAGCTTTCTTTCCATATAGAATGTGGTTTTGTGAATGTTGTTGCTTTTTGAATATACTCCATAAAGCTTTAAAATATACGGACTGTTTCTTTTTCAGGCAAATGTAGCCATGGAGGCATTCTGGACCACAGCCGCTACCTGGGGGCCAAAGGGGGCATCAACAAGGACAGCACCTCACCTCTCTTCTCCCCTCACCATTACCTCCACATGGAAGCTGCCAATTTAGCTATGGAGGCCACCCTGAGTGTACTGAGAGACATCAGAGACACCGTGGGCCAGAAAACCTTCCTCAGGTAGGTTTTGACAACTGTTTTACAGGTAATTATTATTCCCACCTCAGGAGTTGTTGAATTAAACAATATATTATCATATTGCTGTTGAGTGCATTTCTTTATTTGCTACACATCCTTTGGCAGGCTCTTCAGCGTGAAGCAGGTCCCCGCATTGGTGTTTGTCATAGACACCACAGGCAGCATGTTTGAAGAGATCACTGCCGCTCGCTACCGGGCCCACTCCATCATCCAGAGCCGAGCCAGCAGCCCAGGGCAGCCGGGCACCTTTCTACTTGTGCCCTTCCATGACCCAGGTGAGGGTAGAACAAATCATCTTAAGACCTGGTTAAAAGAAATGGTGCCTTTAAAGCCCCCTTGACCACTACAAAGAGATGCACTAAGGAAACTTAGATGTATGCTTACATTTTTAAGGAAACAACACACACCTAAGGTCACAAGAAAATTATCTTCGCTTTAATGTCCACAAAACAACGAAACAATGAAAAGGAATCAAACTCACCTTACATAGGTAATCTGGCCTTCACTTTATTTCCATTCTCTGTTCAATAGTTATGTTCCTCAGGTCTCACTGGTTTCCTCGTTCAACCATAAAAATGAGCTAAATGCTTTACCCTCACTCAACTAAAGGCAGCCTGGCTCCAACATTACCCTCCTTTCTCGCCATCCCAAACAATTCTCTTCCCTTTGACCCCCAGGCCACGCCCCCTTACACCTGTGATCCTTGAAGGAAACAGATCACCTGACCAGAGAGTATGCATGGCAGACAAGTGAAAGCATGGGTGACATCGACATGTAGATAGATCAACAGAGGTTTAACTTTGAGGTTTTCAGCATTAAACCATCTAATTATATATATATATATCTTTTCCCTAACATTTGTGGCGGTGAGACAAGGGTATGAATATTTGTTATGGAATAAAGCTGAAAAGTACATTGCATTGTGGGTAATGTAGGCACCGGGTTTTGACAGAGAAGGATAGTTTGTGGAAGACAAAAAACACAATTTTTCTGCTTCTGCTGCATCGATCAAACTTTTTTATATATTTATAGAAGCGTAATGCTAAATTTGTGCAGTACTCTGTGCAGAAATCTTAATTAATTAATTTCCTGCTTCAACATGACAATGTTTGCACAAATCCAGGTTCATAAAGAAATGAGTTTAAAACTGCGTTCAGTCTTTGTGCTAAGCTAACTGGCTTCTGGCTGTAGCTACAGTATATATTTACTGCAAAAACATAACAGTGTGTTGAAATATTCCTTTAAAACTGGTGTAAGCCCTCTGAATTGTTGTTTAGCAATTACATTAAGATTCAACAATTTAAAAAGTTAAATGTGGTGGTTAACATCCTAAAAGATCTCCTGTTATTCAGCAGATGTTGCTTGCCATGTAACATTTCTACCTCCTGTGCTCTGCAGAGATAGGACCGGTCTATGAGACCGATGACCCAAATCAGTTTATGCAGCACATGGAGAACCTGATGGCGCTGGGAGGAGGAGACGAACCAGAGATGTGTCTCTCTGCCATTCAGGTACATTTGGATGCCGTGTCTTTTGTGATCAGGTGTGTGCATGAGTTTGTGAACACGTAAAGTAGCTCATTTCCCATCTTGCTGTGTGTTTTTCAGCTGGCACTCACTCACAGTCCACCGCTGTCGGAGATCTTTGTATTCACCGATGCTTCCCCAAAAGACGCCCACTTGTTTGACGTGGTAAAGGCCCTCGCACTTGAGAAACAGACGAAGGTAGGGTTTCATTTGAAAGAGAATTCGTCGCTAATAAACACATGCAGTTGTAAGTTATGGAGATATTTTCTGATTCTCAGCTGTAAATCCTACATCTAAATAAACACATTTAAATGTTTGAATTCAAACTAGTGAAGTAGCATTACATGTATTGCATTTTAGGATGGATGTTTTCCTGTAATGAACTTAATGTGTCCAGCCTTCTTGTGTCTTGTAGCAAGGGGACTGCAATCAAGCAAGTCCTCGCATGTTTCTTTCTGCTCAACCATCGGTCACGTTATGAGCTGATTTTCCCACAGGTGACTTTTCTCCTAACTGAAGACCCAAAATACACATCGGAGAGTAGAGGGAGGAGGAAGAGGAGGAAGAGGAGGAGGAGAAGGGAACTTTTGTCCCCTGATCGTTTCTCCCTCTACTCTTCCCTGTCCTCCCTGTCAGGAGGACTGACAATATTCACCACCAACTCTGACATCCGCAGTGTCTCTGCCATAGTGGAGGATAACACAGCCATCGACAAGGTTCGGCAGCAAGATCTCTAACCCTAATCCTTTGCTGAGCCAATTCAAATGTATTCCTAACAAAGAAGGCAACTCAGTGATTCCCGTTTTTTCTCTTGCGAGTAGACGTTGCTTGCAACTTCTTGTCAATGCTTGCTCACGTATGTCTACTGATTGTGAGAAGAGCAATTTTTACAGTGAGGTTTTAGCATTTGTGCTGAAAACAGCTTCCTTGTGCAGCTTAAAATGAGGTGGATGAGAGCAAAGAGAGAGAGGATCTAAAACAATGAGCTGAAATACGTTAAAAGAAAGCTGAGGGGAGTGGCAAGGTTTGGCAATGATAATTTTGCAGTGATGAATAATGTTCTTTTGTATAAAATTATGATGTGATCCATTTTGTTTTAGAAAAATTAATATAAGATGTCATTGAAGTGGGAACGTGCATGTTTTTTTTTGTTTGTTTATTGGGATCCCCAGTAGTCGTTGCCTTCCTCCTACTGTTCACATTACAAGCACATTTTTTTCTTCCCCCTCCCCAGGTGACCCTCCTCCATGTGGAAAGTGACGAAGAGTTGATGTCCTCCCATTCCTTCAGAGTTGACAGCTCAGTGAAAAACGTCACACTACACGTCACTGGCATCCTCACAGAGTGTGTCCTCACCAGCCCATCAGGTAACTGCAGGGCAAAGTTGTAAGCATAAGCTGCAAGCCATATCGCAGCAGCTTTATTCGTTTCGTCTATCGTCTGTGAACGGCACTTTGTACTTGCTCCTAAAGTCCTGCAATACCACTACTCTTCTTTGCATTTGATGAGTTCATTTTGCTCTTCTTGTTAGACCAAAGCCAGTCTCTGTTGAGCCAGCAAGGCCCTCTAGCAGAGTTGGAGCGCTTCGTTGGTCTGTACCGTATCAGCCTGCTGTCTCCTATTCAGCCAGGCAAGTGGAAACTCCAAGCCAAGAGTGACGGACACCTCACATTCAATGTGATAGGTAAAAGAAAAACATGTTAGACATTGAGGAAAATCAACAACAGTTATTTAACGGTGCGTTCACTCTTATTTAACTCTCCTTGTGCTGAGAAAAGATTTTGTGTTTTGATCTGCACCCCCAGGTGACAGCAGTGTAGATTTCCTGTATTACTTTGCCACAGTAACCAATGAGACACACCCAGGTCTGGCCAGAGTGGAGGGTAGTCCAGTAGCAGGTAAGAGATGTTTTTTCTAATATAGTTAGGGATGTATCAGTGGCAGCCTACAGGAAGTCTCACGACCAGGAATGTGTCGGACATTTGGCTAAACGGCCTTGTGCCTAATGTGACTTCTTAGGTGTTCCTGCCTTTCTGGTGCTGGCTGTGACGGGCCTGGCTCCAGATGAGGAGGCGTCTTTCAGTCACGTGACCCTGCTGGGAGCTGACGGGGAAAGCATCCAGCAGGTCAAGCTGAACTCCTCCTCCTCGTCATCATCATCATCATCATCATCATCATCATCATCATCATCATCATCCTACTCTGTGGAGGAGCTGGTGGGATGGTTGGACTCTGTTCCCATAGTCCCATTCTGTGTTCGGCTGACGGGCCGAGACAGCAGAGGAGACAAGCTGGAGAGGGTTTCCGCAGAGAGGGTTCAGCCCACTCATGTTCAGATACAGGTAGTGATAAACAAGACATGGGCTGTGTCTTTTAGCTCTTTGTTTTGGTTTTATGGCCCGCACCTTGTTTTGGTTCATCCATATCCAGATGCAACAGGCAGTTTACAGAAACTAACAGGCGGACGTGATAATCCAGAATAGTATCAGTATTAGCTCCCCTAATACTGATTGTCAGAGTCTCTACAGCTTGTTCTGCTGCCTCCAAGTGGTTAAAACGCAATCATTTTGCTGCTTCACAGAAAAGGAAAACAGCACGAAAACTGCTGGTTGTTTTCCATTTTAAAATATCTCACCTTACAAAATGTCAAATTATGACTTTTCCTGTTGCAGCTTTCCATAAAACTCTGTGTTGGTGGATTTTCTGGTTCATGGAGTTTCACATTGACGTACCTCAAATCAGCTGGCTCTTGTTGTGATGATGTTTCACAGTTTATGTGGCTCTGTCTCTTCAGGTGTTGTCTGTCCCCCGCCTGGTACCTGGTCACAGCTCAATGGTGTCCTTTCACATCCTGAACCATGGCCCGGCCCGACTCTTCAGTCTGACTGCTGATGACGACTGTGGATATCTTCATAAGAGAGGACCTCACAGGTAGAAAAAGCCATTCCATTTCTTACTGTATATGTCCTCCCTTTGCAATCATGTAGGATCATAGGAATGTGATATTAGAAAACCACATTTCATGCCCTTTATGGACTCTTGTCTCTAAATGTAGAAGAACTACTTGAAAACATTTGTTCTCTAAGTTCGAGTTTCTGTCCCTCAGGTTCCATGTTGCAGAACAAGGGTCTTTCCGCGGTCAGGTGGACGTCCTCACTCCTGCCACAGCTCAGGCAGGAGCGACTGTCACCCTAACACTCACTGTGCACGCTCTTGACTCTCCGGACTCAAATTACGCAGTGGCCTACATGACTGTGATCCCTCCAGTGAGCATGAGCTGAAAACTAATAGGATACACTCCGTTTGGGGACAACTTTAATTGTTTTATACAGAGGTTTACTGTTAGTTGTTTTGTCCGTAAAGATCATTAATTCATCTTCAATTTTCTGTGTCTGACATCACTTACTCTTTCTCTTGCAGGATCCTGACACGTCCCCACCATCCTGCTCTGCTGCACGAGTACAGTCCACGTGCCCTTCCACTTGCAACGAGTCTAGCTGGAGCGTATCTCTGGTCGTGTCAGACAGGGGGCGCTCCGGCCTCGCTGCCCTTCAGCTACAGAGCGGTGAAGGCATTCTGACTTTATTCCACAGCCCCCCACCCACAGAGGACAGCCTGGGAGAGGACCGGCCCGGCCAGGACCAGCAACAGGCACACAGGGACAAGACAACCAGTGGAGGTCACCACCACCACCACAAGGCCAGATTAGAGAAAGGAGACCCACCTCTGAATGTTTCTGAATGGTCCCCTGGCTCATCTCAGCCGCTGTGGGTGACGTACATGTCCAGCTGCTGCTCTGCTCGGGCTGAGCTGCTGGTGTGGGACACAGCTGGAAACATGAAGCGCTGCCATCTAACGTCTGGCCAGCAGAGAGACAGGAGCACAGAAACCAGTGGAGCCGGACGGATTACACCCACACCAGTGTTTTTCTTGTTGTTGGGTCTGCTGTGGTCCTTTCTGCTTTAGGTCGATGTGATTACAAATGTTTTGCAGGCCAAATCTATGTGTTGATCACTGGGTACCAGCAGCCCACACAAAAGAGACACAAAAGACAGATACAAAAAGAAAAGAAAAGTAGTCTGATAAGGAAAGAAACATATCTTTCTTAATGACTGATTTGTGCTTGCTACTGTAATTTGTAAAGAATGTGCACTAAATAAAGGGTTAATAATTGTATTATTATTGTCAATGTCTTGAATTATTTGCTGTTCTGGACATCTGATATCACAAAGAATACATTACTGCCAAGAAGTGAATAATTTGGACATTTTCAACAAGGAAATAATAATACTTCTGGTGGACTTTAAGGAAAAAAACATATAAAGCAAATAAATAACAGCCATGCATGTGTGCACAGTGTGGCCGTTACAGTCTATTACATCCACAGCATACTTTAGTCACCAAGACAAAGTAAACATAGATCAACACTTAAAAAACAAGATTAACATCATGTTCGTACCTTACAGTTTATAGGATATAGAGGTCTGATAATGTGTAACTGATAAACAGTAGGCCCTTATCAGAACATGAATGACTTATCGCCTGAATAAGTGAAAGTAATAACATATTGTTAGACACCTTCTGGGTTATCAGATCTCAGCCCTGCGGTCCGTTTATCAGGCTGGGTGTGTGATAAAATGCAGATAAGAACAGATGCAGCACAATAAATATAAACTTAAGGGGGATAATTTCACTACCCGATATGTGCCGGGGAAAAAATAACATCACAGTGAAAATAATGTCAGTAAACGCTATTTATTTTGGCTAGTAGGCCTACGTAGATTTTGCTCCTGGTGGTCATATTTAAGGCCAGATAAAATGTGACAGAATGAGATTTTATTAGTAGTCCCCCGTCTTTGTCTTCTCAGCTCTCACAATGACTTTGAAGTGACATTTACATCCGTCTTACCTCGTGCAACTTGTTGAATTTCAATTGACACTGGACACACATACAAACCAACCGGCTGCACTTCATTTCAACACAAGAGGAAGACATTTATAAAGAATGATTTGATCCTTTTGATAAATAAAAAATCCCGTGTTATACAACAAGGAATTTGGACTTTTCTGATCAGTTGTCGTTTAGATATTGTAACTTGTGCTCAGCCTGGGCGATAATTGACATTTCCATGTTGAACTGATTAACTGGTCAGGCAGTTGCTCATTACAAGATGACACAGAAGCAATATATAAGAAGAGATGGACACACAAAGCGCATGGGTTAAGAGGACGATCGGGTTCAGACTGAGCTTTTGGGAATGTTGAATAAAATATGTGCCACAAAACGCAAGCAAGTGGAGGTGGAGGAGAGAGGACACTGGGGCAGCAAGGTGGAGTTTCTCCTGGCCGTGGCGGGAAACGTTGTCGGTCTCGGCAACGTGTGGAGGTTTCCTTACCTCTGCTACAAAAACGGAGGGGGTAAGCAACTATGAGGTTCACTCGTTACCTAAAATCTCTTGTACATGTATGCATTGATGTACACTTTGTAAATTCAGGTGCATTCCTGGTGCCATATCTGGTGTTTGTGGTGACCTGTGGCGTACCCCTGTTCCTGCTGGAGATAACTGTAGGCCAGTACACCCAGGAAGGCGGCATCACCTGCTGGAGGAAGATGTGCCCTCTGGCAGAAGGTATGCTGTCCAACTTCAAATTTGTTGTACTAACACCTTTTTTAAAGTTGAGTCAACAAATCCCTTTGAAAAAAGTTGAGCTAACTCAAAATGTCAACTTTACTAATAAGGAGTGCAGTCCACTGAAACCTTTAAGTCGAGAAAACGTAGCATAGTGGTTTGGGCATCTGCTGAGGTAACTAAGGCCACTGTGCATGGGTAGATGTTAGTAAATATATACATGTACATATATGTATGTATGTGTGTATATATATATACTATTTTAATTATATATTTTAAATAATAAAATAAAACAAATTAATAAATTTAATAAAATAAATAAAACATTATTTTCTTTAGCCCCTGTTAAGATACTTTGATTTTTAATATCATTATGTTTAGATACCTTATTTTTTTAGATTTCATTTGATTGACATTTACTTTTTATACCTAAATCTTATTTGTGTAAGAATGTTCATGATCTGCTGAATGTCTGTTGACAATGTTCAATAAAGAGAGAGAGAGAGAGGAGAAAAAAACCCGCCAACCGCCGTAAAACCAGAAGAAGAAGAAGAAGAAGAGGAAAAATAACGTCTAATCACTGCGCTACACCAGTACCTTCGGTTAGATATAGCAATTCCGCGCCGGGCCACGCCAGCTCAAGTGTTGCTGCAGCATGCCGTCTACCTCAAGCACAAATTAACAAGGTAAGGCTGTGTATGTTCTGGAGTGTGTTAGCTAACGGGCTAGTCAGCGAACCTGTTATTTTTTTTAATGCAAAAGTTAACATTAAGAAGTTTACAACGTGACGGACCCCACCCTATTTTTCAAATATTTTTTCACATCGAGTGAATTTGCACATATTAAAGTTAACGTCTGTACTAGCTAAAGCTAACGTTACTACATTGTATGCACGTGCACAACGTTATAGCGCCGTATGCTACATTGGTTGGTTTTTGTTAGCTAGCTAACATGTTGCTGCAAAGTGCTTCGCCGTTCGTTAGTGTTGGTGACGTTGAAACTCGAGGGCTGATAGTTTAAGTTACCCGCGCGCGTGTACCATTAAGGTGCACTAGATACAGTCCAGGTAATGAAGTAGACTTAAAGCAGCACGCCGTTCTTTTGTGCACCCCATTTATTTGTGTTACTCGTAAGACTCCTTGACCTATGCTTTTCCTTCCCTGATGATACAAAACAAATAATGCATAAATACTCATTTAAAATACTCAGCAAAAGGGGGATGAAAGGTCTGTTGCTTTTCGTGGTCACCCCCTTCCTTCCATCACTCATAGTATTGTTTGTCATTATGATAAAACCATTTTAATGACTTGCAAATAGCTCCTTTACACACTTAAGGTAAACATAGTTAGAGGTTAGTGAAATCATCTTTTAAATTCTCAGTTCTCAGTGTACATTTAATAAATCATGGCAAACTGCTTTTCTGTTTTAGTAAAAAATGTACCATTACTCCTTGGCAATATTTATTGCCCATCTTTGAGCAACTTTGAAAATACGGGGGTGTGAAGCTGTTAGATTTGCATGGAGTTTTGACAACTATGCACATTGTTAACATGTTCTTATCTTTCCTTCATAGGATTTGGATGCAAGTTTTTCCACCCCAGTCAAGATGTCCTCTGAAAGCATTACAGACATTACCAGGCGTGATTCTAACCACTCCCGTGCCTGTCTACAGACAGCACCTGAACTTTCAAGACAACTGGTGCGTTAAAATCCCACCTTTCAAGAGTACATAAACAGTCTGGTAAACCTAAAGTGCAGGTCACATTTTGTTGTGAATTGTGTGACTGTAAGGTCCTCTGTGTGCCAGAAAAATGCATAGGCCATCTCAGGGCTAATTTGAAGCAGCATGTGACTGTTTGTTGTCTATTCAAAAACTGTGAATTTACAAGTAATGTCCTTCAGTAGTCATGTAAGCCGGAAGTACAAATCTTACAGTGTTAATGATTTTAGATAATCTGTAATATCGCCAACAACTCCAACTGATCTACCAGAAGCAGATGAAGAATTGCCTGCAGAGTGCAATGATCCACAGGCTACTGTTGGTTGTTCTGAAATAGAAAGCAGCATGTACCTAATGCCTTTGGACAATTATACAATTGAACATAAACTTGCATCATTGTTTCTTTACATGCAAACTGTGTTGTGCAGAGTTCTACAGAATTACTCGAGTGGACCTGAAGAGGATCTTCCTGTCATCATTGGATGCACACTCATCGCAGCTTATTAAGCTGTACAGATCACGCCGCGGAACACTTGGAAAGGACATGAGGATCCTTCTAGACAACTTTGATGAACAGGTAATCAATAAGTAGGAAGTGCATGTGGTATAGCAGGGGTCCTCAATTAGATTTGAACTGGGACCAAAAACTGGGGGACAGACGAGGGGCATTTTCACAATTATTTAGTCCGACACAAGACATCAATTATAAAACGGACAACTATGCAAACCATAACATTGGAGCAGAGCATTTACCATCAGATCACCCTTTAATATTCCAGTTTGTCTAACAAAATAAATATGAATACACGTTAATGTTCACAGGTGTATTGTATTGTTTGACTTAATTGACATTTCAAATTGGTGATTTCGGAGATGAAAAGCAAGAGAGCGTTATTGTGTTTTCACCCTTAAGCTATGTCCAAAAACATGATGCCCATATATACAGTGGTAAAATATGGGTTCATTTAGTTAGTGAATACAGCCGACCTGAAATGCATGCTACAGAGCTGGAAGCATTTTGCCAAATGCCTTTGTCTTCTATAGTTTGCATTGAATTTTTTGAATTATAATTATTATAAATATATACATTTTTAATCTTCATTTTGTATCTTTCAGACAACTGATGTGCTTGCCCACAGAAAGTCTACAGCTCTATGGGGTCTACCGTTCTTTGATGGAGAAGCCGGACGGCTTTCTGAAGAAATATCTGGTAAGACTAATGTGTCAATGTCATTAAGGTTGCACATTGAGCAAGAAAACACAAATGCAAACTTTCATCAAACCCTCATTTCTACTTCACTGTTACTTTGTTATTCCACCTAAATAGTTTAATAAGTGTAACTTTACAGTTTTTAACATTTCATTTCATGTGATATCGCCAATACTGGCAATATTACTGTAGCATCAAGGTTACATGCGAGTGTGGTGCCTGCATTTTGTAACAGCAATTCTCCTTCAAATTTACTGGTAACATTTATAATTCCAAGCCCAAATTAGTCATGGGTTTTGAGACCTCGTATACAGTGCATTCAGAAAGTATTTAGACCTGTTGAAGATTTGTCTGACTTAAAAATGATGCATGTACATATTTTGCAATATTTTTAATTGTAAAGTCATTCTCTGTCAGTGCATTTTCAAAGTCAAAATACCTTTTTGGTTTGCTAATCTTTTTAAGAAAATAAAACTAAAAAAGCCCCTACACACCATTAGCACCCTTTGCCGCTACATGTCTTTAGGGTAAGAATCTGGCAGATTTGGAGTGATTTTGTCCATTGTTTAATGGCAGATTTGCTCCAGTTCCTTCAGGTTTTTGTCACTTATTGAATCGAAGGAAGCCTGTACAGTGAGAGCAAATGTTTCCCTGTATTCTGCTCTATTTATTTATTTAATGACAAGACACGACATTCAGAGTATGAATATTTAAATATTCAAATACTATAATGCAAATGTGTAGGGGGTGAATATGGTATGAAAGTGGTATATTTTAGTTTTTAAAATCTGCAGAAAATTTACCAACCAAAAATGTATTTTGACTTTTCAAATGTATGGTTACAGAATGGGAAGGAGAAAAAAAAGAGAACTTTAAATAGGGGGTGAATATTTATGAAAGTCTCTATATGCTTGTTTTTCTTTAAAATACAGACCCGGAGGAATTTTGTGTCAAGGGAGTTGAACTTGGAATACTCAGTTGTTGAAGATGGCGTTGGGAGGGTCTGCTCAAGTCCAACAACAATAAGCATCGCGCTGGTTATTGAGGAACGGAGTGTCCTGGAGGATGTATGCGACTTCCCAACCGCATTTGCCCTTTTGTTTGGGCTCATCTAGGCTCTTAACCTGGACTATCCGAAGGACTTACGGTACACATTTTTGAAGTAATTCAAAAGGTGAACCTTGGTACCCAGTGCTCTACCTGGGTTCAGGCCTTAAAGAACAGTTTGCTGAAGTAGCCTGCCATATCTAAACCACGCCTATGGTCTTGGCTAGATTTTCATGAGGGACTGAAATGTCACCAACTTGACCAAATGCCGATGGTATGAGTTGACCAAATTGGTCAACACCCTTAAGTATTAGATTTTAACAAGTTTATTATTTGCCTTACTACTTTGTATATTACAGCTGAACTATCCACTGCTGGTCCTGCACTTTAGGTGTATTATAATTTAATATTAATTTTAGTTTATTGTTGTTACTGCCACATAGCGCCATGCAGACACATATTTGCATTTATTTTTGTTTTGACCGAGTATTAGGAGAGAACTTTAGTCGGTGTCTTTGGGTTTAAAATGGCGTGAAGTAGAGATTATAAGGATGTTGACCCCCTGCTGTCTACTATTCAAGTGTTGAAATTGAAAGACAATATTGTTTTGCAAGCAAATAACTTATTGTTATTAAACATTTTGTGTTTTAAGATGTTTTTCTTTTCTTTAACGGTGTACATTTCTAATTAATTAAAAATGAAGGCTGTAAAAAAGAAAAGTTGAGTATACTTAAAAAGGTTAAGTAACCAGCTGCACAGCTTTTTTGAGTATACTCAACATAAAATGGGCAGTGCTGTTAATGTATGTTTTCAATCTATAAGAACACACAATTTCAAGTTTTTCCAACTTGATATGTCAAGTGTTCTTTACTTAAGTACATGAGTAGACGTGAGGATCAAACTCCATATTTTAAGTTATGTTAACTTAAGTACATAAGTAGGTCTGAATAGTAATGTTAAGTTTGACAAACTTAAAATAGCACCTTGAGTTAACTTCTTATCCTAAGTTGACACAACCCATTAGCCCTTAGTTGAGTATACTCAAAAAAAAGCTGTGCAGCTGGTTACTTAACCTTTTTAAGTATACTCAACTTTTTTTTTTTTTTTAGAGTGTGATGACTTTATTGAAGAAAAACAATCTCTGAATGATTAATTAGCTTTATTGTCGGCTGATGCATCATATTAGTTTAATGTGTCATTTTGATAGTTTCACAAAGGAGGGGGGGGGGGGGTGTGGCTCAGTGGATAGAAGGTTGGGTGTTCGATCCTTGGCTCCTACTATCCGCATGTTGAGTGTCTAAAACGATGGGTTAAATGCATGCATGTACCTGTATGCATTGGATAACATCAAAGTATATATAAAAGCGTTTTGTTGCTCCAAAGCGAGTTGTGCAAAATCTTAGGCATTGCTAATCGTGGGTTGGGGCTGAGGACTAAAAGTTGGAGTAAGAAAGAATTGAGCTTACCAGAGTTTTGCAGCCCACTTTGTACTTATTATTTATAAAGAAGGAGAATGCATCAAACAAAAATATATCTGGTTCTGCTGCATCAATTTGGATCCTTTTAAAAAATAATAAAATTGAATAATTGTTCATGTTTATAGTAAAATCAAGTGACATTTCACTCTGGAGAAGTCACAGAGATAATTTCGAGAAAATAAAATGTTTCTTTGTTCAGTTTGCTTTACACATTTGTTATTTTGTATTTATATATCTATATCTATATATATCTATATCTATATAGATATATATCATTATGGAAAAGTAGTCTCAGTTTTAGTGATACATTGGGTCAGTCGGGGTAAGTGACCCTAAACTCTAAGCGGATTAATGGATAAGTGGAGGATGTTAGGATGTCTTAACTTTTGTCTATGTGGCCTTGCAGGTATCGGCTACGGCGGGCAGCTGATCATCTTGTACAGCTGTATGACCTACATCATTATTCTGGCCTGGGCTTTGCTCTACTTGGTGTTCTCCTTCAGCTCACAGCTCCCCTGGGCCAGCTGCAACAACTACTGGAACACAGGTAAAATGGACACTGTCACATGCATTGAGGTTGACTTGTACAACAGAGCACTAACATTTATGTTATGATGACAGATATCAACACTCCAGTGACTTTTCTGTCAATTAAAAGACCTTCCATAAAGTTGGGAGACTTGTGAGAGACATAATTTAGAAACAATGGTCAAAATGAAATCAACAGAAGCAGAGATATTCTGACTTTTACCCCCTAATATGGGTCAACCATTGAACCCTATACATTACCCATAATGCAACTGGATAGCGTATTTAACGTCACCCTCCCTGGCTGGTAAATGTCTACATCTTTTAAACTCCACACCAAAAGCTTGTAATGCAAATTTGAAGTCCCAAGCCCAAGAACCAACCTCCCCCTAGAACCACAGAGGATCATTTTACATCTGCTTTGTGACTATTAAAATGTGTTTTGTCTCACTATTCTTTCAGATAACTGCATAGACCTTTCCACACAAAATAAAACCTTGAACTGGACCAACCATACTAACACAACCTTTGCTGCCACAGAGTTCTGGGAGTATGTATACGGATATACTAAAGCCTCTAGATTGATTTAAATGTGCCAAAATGAGTCCTGATACGTCTCAATAAAACACATTTGTTGATCTTTTGTTCCTTCTAGACAGCGAGTGCTTGGTATCTCAAGTGGGATTGAGGAGATAGGCAGCATCAGATGGGATGTGATGTTGTGCCTGATTGCGATGTGGATCATCTGCTACTTCTGCATCTGGAAAGGGGTCAAGTCTACAGGAAAGGTATTTAAATAAGCCCTAAAACTGTGGTGAAAATGTATAAAGTTGTATCTCTAAATGCCTTAAACGGTTGACTTTTTTCCCCAGGTGGTGTATTTTACTGCAACCTTCCCATATGTGATGTTGGTTATTCTGTTGATCCGTGGACTCACTCTTCCTGGGGCTCTAGAAGGAGTACTGTATTATCTTCTGCCTGAACCCTCGCAACTCGCAGACTCTCGGGTAGGAGATTCATTGTGTACTGTAACAGTGTGAAGTTCATGGACAACTTTCCTCACTGTTGCTTTGTTGAAACAGGTTTGGATGGAGGCTGGGGCTCAGATCCTCTTCTCATACAGCGTGGGTGTGGGCTCCTTAACCGTGCTAGGCAGCTACAACACCTACAACAACAACTGCTATAAGTGAGTATTACTCGATGTTTGACTGAGTGTGACAACAACTCTGACATCAGAGTTATGCAATAACATTTTTAAAATGTATCTACATGCTATGAATTTATAGAGTGCACACACGTGTTTTGCAGAGACTGTCTGTGGCTGTGTTTGCTGAACAGTGTTACCAGTGTGGTAGCTGGGTTTGCAGTCTTCTCTGTGCTGGGATTCATGGCTCACGAGCAGGGCGTTCCCATTTCAGAAGTGGCCGAGTCAGGTAAAGCAAGTCATCAGAGGTATACAGAAAGATGCAAAGTATCCAATATTTTACCATAAAAAAAAACTAAAATCAAAGAAATCCAAAAACAAAGACAGATTTGTGCATGAGAACTTCGTTTTTTCTTTCTTCTTCACACACGAATCGCTTCACAAACATTCAAATTTATCTTGTGACCACTAGTCAAGAATCTAATACGTCAAATATAATGTTTAAGTCATTTTACCACAGCGCAAGTACTTTCACTGAAGTAGGAATTTGACTGCAGGACTTTTACTTGTTATTGAGTATTTTTACACAGTTGTATTGGTACTTAAATCGGAGGATCCGAGTACTTCTTTCACCGCTAGTCCACAATGGGTGAAATGCTAAATATCAATGCTGAATTGGTTAAACAACAAAGGCAGATAATAGACGGGGACGAATCTGGCTTTGTTGCTTTCCAGGTCCAGGCTTGGCGTTCATTGCATACCCTCAGGCTGTAGCCATGATGCCTCTGCCCCAACTGTGGTCCATCTGCTTCTTTGTCATGCTCATCCTCCTGGGTCTGGACACACAAGTAAGATGTACTTTTAATGAACTCTTCATGGAGGAAAAGAAATTCACATTTGTCAATGTGCTTATTGTGTGTTGTGCTGTCTCTGTACAGTTTGTTGCCATGGAGGTGGTGATGACATCCATCATCGATATGTTTCCCACGGTGATGCGCAGAGCAGGCCGGCGGGAATCTTTCCTCCTCCTCTTCTGCCTCACATGCTTCTTCTCTCAGCTTGTCATGGTCACCGAGGTCAGTATTTAGTATTATACAGTATGTACATTTATTAGCAGTGTGTTGCATGCTATTGCTAGTAAAATGAATAAAACCATGTCAAAACAATGTCTTTGCTGTTGTCTCCAGGGAGGAATGTACGTGTTCCAGATGTTTGACTACTTCGCTTGTAACGGCGCCTGCATCCTCTTTCTCTGCGTGTTTGAAGTCGTGGCACTGGCATGGATATTTGGTAGGTATACTGCTTTTTTAAAATGGGCAGTTTCATAAAGGACCAAAATAAAGTTGTGGGTAAGATCGAAATCAAAGCAGCAGAGGCTGAGATATGATGACTTTTAGTCCCTTGAGTTCTAAAAATGCATGGAGTTCCCATAATGCATCAAAACCCTGATGACAGCTGTTGGGGATTTACCCTCGGGCAAAAAGCCCACCGTATAATCTGACTCCAAAAGACTACACCTTCAGAAGGACCCCACGCAGATCGTTTGATTGGAATTACATTCGATGAACAGAAGACGGTAGACGATCTATAAGTATTAACAATTTAATAAGTCAAGCATCAAAGCATAAAAAACATAGATCTATGGTTTCACAAAACACAAGAATTGATTAAGTATCCCTAGCAACAGACACACAGTTTGGGCTCGGTCCACGCATCTCTCCTCTCAGACAATGTTTCTACACATCCTTGTGATTATGTTCTCAGACTATGTGAGAATATTAGAGAAGTTCCCCTTTAAATGGCATTCAAACATTAGTCTGATGTGGTCATTGAGTGCTGATCATCTAACCTCATCTCCTACAAAGGGGCAGATCGGTTGTTATCCATCATTAAGGACATGACAGGTGTTCACGCCAACCCTTTCTTTAAAATCTGCTGGCTTTACCTCACACCACTGGTCTTACTGGTGAGTGACTTTCAATGTTGGATTTTTATGCTCCAGATATTCTTACACTGAAATGTCAGGATAACTTCTGAATCCCTCTTTTGTATTGTTTTCTCAGGTCTCTTTTATATGTTCTTTAGTTGGGTATCAGCCTCTGACTTTTAATCGCTGGTACGTGTACCCAGCCTGGGCATACGTGTTGGGCTGGATGCTGACCCTTTCCTCCATCCTGCTTGTGCCGGGATGGGCGCTGTATAAACTGGGAACTGGGACTGGGAACCTGAGACAGGTGGGACAACTGTGTTATTGATTTTTAGTAATTAATTCAATAAATCGCACGGTGCATAAAATGTTTATATTGAGTATGTGTTAATAACAAGCAAAAGAGCAATGTATGTCAGAGGAGTTGTCATTTTTAGGATTATTAGGCTGTAACATGTTGGTCTTTAAAAGTATGAAATGTTTATGTGTATTGATGAAAGTATAGTGTTGATTTTCAGAGTAAAAGCTACATTCTCTTTAGTTTGCACCAATATGAAGGATCCTAACTACCAACAGCCAACATGCAGCATCAGTGATATTGCTTATTTCGTGAATGAATGCTTCAAGTTATTGCTGAATACTTCTCTCAATTTTCTTAGCGTTTCCATCATCTGTGCCAACCGGCCCCCGACTTCTCACTGACCCAAAAGGAAGAAGCTGAGCTGCAGCACGTCAAAGGGGAAGATCTGCACTGACTCACTTCCAGTTGATACCAAACATGAAATGATCCTGAACTCTTTATCTAAATGTATGTGTACGACAATTTTCCTTTTGAATCTCTTTGCTTATATCTTTAGATCTTTATTTCTTATAGTATTTGTTTAGTCTATAATTCAAAGACAAGCACGACGTGTCTTATTTATCTGATCTCAATAATGCTGGCTTTTAACTCCAAGTGTTACAGTAATATTTTTGCAAAGATAATTGTACGAGTCACATCGTAATCAGATTCTTATTTTAATCAAAATAAACTTGAACATTTATAGTTGTTAACTGTCTACAGTATGTCTGAGATTTATGCTGTTTTTAAGAGATTCTAGAAATATATATTGAAAATACATCACAGGAAATATTCTCCATCATCAACATATTACCATAACGGGGCTCAATTTAAAAAGACTCGCATACTACAATGACAGAGTATATTCCTCAGATATTGCTTTATTTAAATACCTTGAAATTATGAAAAATACAATGTGAAACACTTTTCAGAAATGCGTTGGAAGCGATGTCTGTCATATGCATATAAGCACAAAAAAATAAGATGACAAATAATTCACTTATCACACGATGATAACCACTTAAGCAACGTACTTTCATACTTAAACACTGTCGTACAATCAAATTCACAATGCAAACCGTACTAACACATGACCACATGAGAGGAAACCATTTTACTGATTATCTTTGAGATGCTGAGTTGAATTCTTCTGTTCAAATATGATGTGTGCTGTATTTGTATGGTATGAGAACCCGGGACAATGATGTAACGGCAAAAATATAGAGTGAAAAAGAGCAATTAAGGCTTGGTTGACAAGTATTTGGACAGAAGTCCTTGCGGCAGTCCAGTGTGCTGCAGCTTGTGATGTAACAGAGATGTTCTCTGCAGCATTGAGCGCAGAGTTGTGCCTCAAGTGCTACATGTTTCCTGAAAGTGACATTTTGCTGGGAGCCTTTTAGCTTCGTGGTTTTGAAGGCACCAACCTTGTTCATCACCTTGTTTTGTCTGCTATACTCATCCTTTGGTCTGTCGTGAGAACGAAACCAATTAAACCAAATAAAGCCAATTTCCTCTGCCTCCCGCGGAGACATATTATTCTCACATAATCCTTTAAGTAGCCCACAAGCAGAGACACATCTGAGTGGTTCTATAAAAGTGGTATCCTGAATTGCACTTAAGAGAATTAAATCTGGTGAAAAACGTTAAACATCCGCAAACCAAACACGTACTCCCACATGTACAATAAGTACGAGTGATTGTTGGTTTCCCATTGACCCGCAGAGATATTTTGCTGTCCCTATCAAACTAAGTTTAAATAACCAGGGATGAACCGTTAAAGCCACACATAATAACCAAAAATAGCCCTGAATACTCGCTCTCCCTTTAAGAAGGCACTGCAGATTGTGCTAGTCGGTAGAACTGTCGGGAGGCATGAAGGTGTCTTTCTCTGACGATTTACCTCCGGCCTGGAGCTCCCTGCCTGAGTTTAAGTCCCGTACGGTCGTGAGAAGGCAAGACGGCGGCGGCACCGCTGAGCTCTCAGCCCCTAGTGGCCCATTGCTGTGGCCTGTGGAAACTCTCGCTGGTTGACTGGCAGAGTCCGGATAACATGGGATTTGCAGGGTTTTAATGTTGGGGTAGCTGCCAGACTCGGCCATTGCTCGGTGTAGATGTTTCCAGGTACAGCTGGGGTTGCTTACGGCCTGGCACAGAAGCTCCGTGTGCTCGCGGAGCTGCGCAATGTCCCGCTCGGTGGCGTTGCTCTGCCGCAGCAGCTCCTTCGTTCGCAGCGTTATGTCCAACAGACCCGACTGTCTCAGGATCTCCACTGTGTTGAGGAAACGGTGTTGGCGAGTTCTGGTGGAGCCGTTTCTGTGAAGTCCTCTGGTTTTGAGGACGGAGGTTTGGCTCAAGGAGACAGCAGTGGGACTGGAAGAGGAGGAGGGAAGCTCTGGGGTTGAAGAGGAACACGGCAGCCTGGAGGTTAAGGCTGCTGATTTGGGTTGCTCATAAAGGTGCTGCTCAGGTGGACTCCTGGTCACAGGCGTGTCATCAACTTCTGTGCAGACTCTCTTGCTGAGATTCTGTGATTCCTCGTACGGTGAAGATTTATCAGGCGGCTTCTTGCTGGGTAGTGGGGCAATGTGTGGGTAGGAGTTGAGAATGGGCAGGTAGGTATCATTTGTTTTCTTCCTTGTGCCGTTGGAACTCAGGGACAAAGGCTCGTGGAGTTGTCGAGCGGCCGGCAGCATGCTAGGCTGCTGGAAAAGGATCATGTGGGCAGCGCTGGGTTCCCTGCTTCCATTTCTCTGCGGCAGCTGATCTCTTTTCTGGATCATGTCCGGCTGGTGGGACAGGGAGGAAGAAGGAAGAAAGTACGAGACATAGATTAAACACTAGGGGACGATATGTTTATCTCCAGATTCAATACTATCATGTATCGCAATTTTTAAGTATTGGGATTCGACTATTTATTGCGAGACCATTGGAAAAAGTTAAATCACACACTTCTGGAGACTTTTACTTTGGAAAATCTCTAAATTGATACATTAAAAATGTTTTATTTTTAGCCTGTATGTAGTCAGAGATGTCCTGAAGTCAAATCAAGTCATTGTAAATCAAAGATGATGGAGCAATGCTTCTATAGCACCTCAAGCAGTCAGAGCTATTTCAAGCTACAAATATGGGACTTTTACTTTGAAATATCTCTAAAGTCAGAGAATAAAAATGCTTGGTTTTGTGTCTGCATATAGTTTTCCAAATCAAGACATTTCCCTCACAATTGAGCGGTATTGTTTTGTTTTTAATCTATAAGGGACAAAGGTAACATGTTTTATACTTTTTGTGAATATAATCCAATTCATCTGATTTCCATACCCTGTGTCAACACCTTATTTTGAAACCCAGACGTAGTCACACGTGTGGGCCAATCCCAATGCCCCCCCCCCCACATTTTTTGATCGGTAGATGCATTAAGAAAACTCTTACCTGCTTAATCACAATGTTATTGATTATGTAGATGGGTGGCAGCCCGCGGTCTGCTGGCATCAAGGGAGGTTTCCCAGGATTCCCGCGCCGAAGATCGATATTCAGTCCCGGCTGTGAAGGTTCTGCACGCTCGCCGCCTCTGCACTGGCTTCTGTTGCTCCACTGGTCCTCCACATCCGTCTGCTGCCCATCTGTTGGAAGAAATACATGCCGGCTGACAGAGTAAAGCCATGCTCGAAGAGACTGCTTTTGTGACGTAGGCTGGTAGTGTTAGAATATTAAGAATAAAAATAACTTCACACTTTATCTGATGGGGATGTAACCAAATTAAACCCGACAGTCAGCACAATAACCTTGTTTTCATTACAAGTAAAGAATGTCCTATCAATCATGTACTGCACTGTTTGTCCCATTCAGCTTTTATTATACCACCTGGGCTGACTTGTGAAGATAAATGGGTGTGTGTGGAAAATACCAGTCGAGGACAAAACTTGGCAAATCGTCTTGCTCTGGTTACATATTTACTCACCAGAGTAGCCAGAGTCTTTTTCTGAGCTGCAGCAGGAGGCCGTCCCGCTGGAGTCGTCCGCGTCTTTGGCACCACGCATTGCCAGCAGAGTCGGACGGTTGCTCTTATTTTTAGCATTCTTGCTGGATGTGGCACAAGAAGTGCGCTCGCCCGAGCAAGGCTGTTCCTTCGGCATACTGGACCCTAATGAGAGAACACACAATGTTTGGTCTGTCACTTAATGACGGCATAAAAACAAAAATAAATGTTGCTCTCGTGAGTCAGAGGTCCGTGTTGGCGCTGTGACGGACCGGTGACCTGCCCAGGTTGCACCGTAACTAACACCCACTGCATTCTGGGATACGATCCAGCCTCTAATTGCCGTCTGTATAGAACATTCTCTTTTATTTTAGAATGAATTTAGATGCAAAACATCACGTTTTTTGATGTCATACTGGTGTCATTTGAAGCAATGAACATTGAGTGCACCGTCATTAAAGAGGCCCTAGACAACAATAAACAGAGGTGAACACACAAATAAGCCCATTTGTATGAACACTTTTCCCACTGTTGTCGTGCATGTACACACATGAAGACAAAGGAATGCATGGGTCACGAGTTGTTTTGAGTCAACAGAGAGCCTGTTACACCAAATAAAAAGCAGGTTTTAGTCATTACTTGCAGTTACAGAAACGACAATTTGTGAAGCAGTCAGTGGATTTTGATTGGGTTTTTTCCCCCTTGCTTTTTGGTGTGTACTTGGGTCCTCTCCAAGGAGCTGGATTACTGTATCTGAAGATCAAAGTGCAAATCCAAATACTGAAGAACAGATTGTACATCAGCTGTGGAAATGATCAGTTACACTACCTCTTTATAGTCCACCCTGAGTAGCACACGATACTGCTCTGTGTTCTCCATTAGGAGTATGAGTGATGTGTCTCTACAGTGTCAACAATGCAGCCATGCACTTCATATTCACACGTTTTCTCCACTGCATCAACATGGAAATCTCTTCAGTGGAAGAGTTGTACACTAAGATTTAAAGTGATATTTTGACATTTATGATCGGCTGTCCAGTGTTCTCCACCTTCGATAAACACCAGGTATCCCTTTCATAGAAAATGTCCGCTATCCTGGAAGTACGTCAAACTTTTTTTTGTTTCGGTCATTTGTGCCTCATACATCACAGAAGGCAGTGGGTCCCTGAAGGCAGCACAGAGGCAGTGGGTCCCTGAAGGCAGCACATCTCAGCTGAAACAGCAGCACCCCTCCTCCTCCTTCCAACCCTGTTATGCAACACTCAACTTGGAAATACACTTCCTCTCTCACACTGGCCGCATCACACTCTCTCTCACACACACACACACACACACACACCAAAGTAGTTTGTCGACATTTTAAACATCACGCGTCGTTAACAGGCCGACAGACGCATGTGACGAGAAAGTAAGCGCTTGAATAGAAAGTATAGAGATTCAGCGATATTACGTATTTTCCAAAGCCAAAACATTCCCCATCTCCCTCTGTCTGCAGTGAAAAACTTACCTTCAAATGTGAAACAAGCCCATTATTTCCAGTAATGGTCGTTTCCCCACTTGCGCGCGCTCTTGAAGCACTGAGAAACGCTACGGTTAACCCGCAGTGTCATGTTTAAATTGTTGTCCGTCGGTTACAGTGAAATACAATAGTTTCATTTTCCTCTCTTTGTTAAATAACCTACGCCATGAGATAAGAGTACAGTGAGTCGCGCTGACATAAGGCGATGTCTGTCAAGCTGGTCAGGGCTGAGGAAATCTTATCCGGTTGGTTTCAAAATAAAACTCACACGTACAAGCACAAGGGGGATTTTATATAGAATACCACCTAGTCCGATAGTATTTAGTGTAATACACAATCCTCTTGGTTTTAATATTATTAACCAGTTCTTACCGAACGTTTATCCAAAAGTGGCAGCTTCCTCGCTTTTGTTTTGAAATCCCGGTGGCTAAATCCTAGCTAGCTTGACACCGCTGTTTAACGTGACTGCGAAATGTTAAAAAAAAATATATATAAAATAAAAGAGCGACAAAACAAAACAAAACATCTAAATGACCCTACCTCATGGCTTAACAAGACAAACAAAACGTGGCTACCAATGACGCCATTAAACACGGAGGAGGGGGGGGGGGGGGTGACAATTGTGCGCGTTACCTCAGTTGAACCCACAGACGGCTGCTGGTTGGACCTCCCACCAGACACAATAAAAATGATCTCCCTGCGCGAGCTAAACGCCGATTGAACCATGAGACAACTACGACAGCCAATCAGAAAGGAGCGCACGTGTAACAGTAATGTTGGCGGAAAAACAATTGTGCAATAAACAAGTGTGCAATAAACAAAGAGGCTCACTACAACACTTTATATTTTAATTTATAATAATGTGAAAGATTAGGTTTCACGGAAAGTCACAGCAACTCGAGTTGCCTGCTTCAGTCATGCTGCATACACATAACTGTTGAAAGCTAATCTAACTGAATAGGTGATGGACAAAACTAATCCTGCAAAGGGACACTCTTGATATATGCTGCACCAGCCGTCCAACATTCTGTAAAGTGCCAGTCGGCTGTGTCAGCGTGATTGCACGTGTGAGCAGGAACGGCCAACAATGCAGCCATGCAGCCAGAGGGGGGCGCTGTTGTCACGTGGAACTGTACAAAAATAAACAGCTGAAACTTTAAAAACTTTGCAGCAGACACTTTATTTTACATTAAAACGTTCATAATAACTTTGATAGACAGCCCATAGGACAAGGACACATCAATACAATTCAAATATTTTCTAAATCGGCTGCAAGATAAGAACATAAAACAGGTGTGCCACTGGGTCAGCTAAATCACACACGCAGAGTGCATACAATCCTTTGTCAAGACCACATTTGGCATTAACATTATTCATACTTCTTCCTCACCCAATTCCATGGCAACTCTTCAGGATCCACAGCAAAGAATACACAGCCTTGGTCAGAGGCCTGGACCACACGGGAGTCAAGTCTTCAAGTGATACTGGTCTAGCATCTCTACTTTGAAGCTTCGGCATATAATTTAGTTTCTGCGAATCAGGAATGTCAAGTGCATACACCCAGCAGACCAGCGGCGTTCTTTAGACCAGCGTGCCTGCTGACCTGCATAGTCTCTGGGGAGGAGAATTTAATAAAACTAGCACAGGTCTCACGGGTGTGGGCCTTGGCTGCAGCATTGGCCAGAATGTGCATGATCCTCAGCAGGGCGGTCTCACTGAAAAAACCACACAGATTTTTTAAATGACAGGTACAGTGGATGAGAGTCCATCTTATAAATCAAGACACACCTGCCGACATGGACACTGGAGGCCAGGCACCATGCAGCCTCCCCTCCTGGTGTTGAGGGCTCCTGCAGAACTTGGCGGGACACGCAGAGGGCCGCTCCTGCCAGCTGCACGGGCAGAAACAACACACACTGGCCCTCCAGGAGAGACAGCTCCAGCAGATACCGAGCCATCCACACCGCCTGGTGGCACAGATGACACTTCAAAATCTCTACATACTGCGAAAAAATAACCTCGCTGACAGAATGAGTTAGTGGAGATCTACCTTGGCACTGCAGCGAGCAACCGAGGCGAGGAGGAGGAGGAAGTGCAGAGGGGGGCAGTAGGACAAATCGAACTTGAGCCCTAGGAGGACCTTGCGCTCCATTCGCAGCAGCTGATGCTTCGTGTAGGTGTGGTCCATCAAGTAGCAGAGTCCAGACACCTGGAAGAAGAAGAAGAAGCACAATAAAATAAAATGAGTCTTTTATTAGAGAAGAGAGGTGTGATCGTTACTTATTACTACATTCATTCAATTAATAAAGATTAAGAGCTGTAAATCTATAAGAATAAATCAAGTGAAACCTCGACAAAAACCAATCATGGATTATTTAGAAACGTTAGCAGACGGCACACACAATCAGTCAGGTTTAACACAATGTGTAGCGTTGTAGTTGGGGAGGGCTGAGCCAGCTTACCTCGGGCAGGAGACACTCTTCCATCTTTGCAGCGAGGAAGAGGCAAACCATGCCGAGGAGCTGCAGGTTGACCGTGGTGATCTTTACCTCACGCAGGGAGCGGTTGACGAGGTGTATGGCCAGATAGAGGGTCTCTTCCTGAAAATGCATCAACTCCTGGAAGGAAATAAACCAGGCGATCAAGATTGAAAGCCACAGATCTATAATTTACCTTTCTTGTACGGGTTTAAACAAATTAGATATATTAATTATTGCGCTTTAGAGGCGCTGGTTTGTTATATTTGGACAGAGTCAGGGTATTTCTTGTCTCTATGGTAAGCTAAGATAACCAGACATCCTCAAATGCAGGAATATTCTCCATTAAAATTCTTTTAATTCATTTTTAAAGCTCATATTTTTTTCCTGACAGGCCATCTAACTTTGTGCATTACTTTTCACAACCAATACCAATGAGAGCAATCCTTTTGCTGCAGGTTTGCCACAATATGCAACAAGGACATGACCTTAAATGAACTGGCCATTGAGACCAGCTTGGAGGAAAGCCTCCATCTTCAGAAGAGCACTTACATGTACTTGAATGAGCCAGTCTACCAGGACAGAACGAGTGACATCAGTAAAATGCCGCGGCAGGTCCGCGGTGGGGAAAGAGTTTCGTGTTTGAGTTCTCTGCAGGGTGAAAACAGAAAAACAGGAGGCACACGCTAAATATTTAAAGAGATTCAGTGCGATCAGCGCTCGTGCCAATCTGCCCCTCAATCATGTGATCTCACTCACCGCCATATCCAAGAACATATCCCAAGCGTACGTTCGGTCCCATATGAGGTCCAGTTTCTCCAGTGCCGTCTCCACCTCGTGGCGCAGCAAGCTGGGCACCAGTGCCTGCAGGCTGGGAAGACCCTGCAGCCCATGAGGGTAAAGAAGCACGGGCTCCTCCTCCACACACCCATCTGCTACACGGGATGAAGGAGGACGAGGAGGAGAAAGGCAACACGCAAGTAAATCATTTTTTACATGATAAAAGTAACCATCTGAGCACTGAATTCCTAATTTCATCCAGCAAAATGACTGCTTGTATTTCTATAACATAATTTTACACAACCAAACTACAGTATTATTTTGAAAATCTTTGGTATGGATTACACTACCAGCTGAGTGTGTAAAACTGTCTTCATGGAAGCCCATAAGGATGCCTTCACTTGTTTGTGCCGATAACCTCCTTTCCTGCAAAAAGACAACACCTTACACACACTTTGAATTGTGATTGTTATGACCATGTGAGTGAGTGAGTGAGAGAGAGAGAGAGGAAAAAAGACTTAACACTCTTAGCTGAGGCTCTGAACCACATTACAGTGATCGCAACTTCTCATATTTAGAGAGGATTACAAATAGCTTCTATTGCAACAAAGGGCAGGGCAGTCACATCCTGACCTTTCACTAATCTCTTAGGGCATCACTTAAGACTAATATGCCGGGAAAATTAAAGTCATAACAAGAGCTAGAGACACTGCAGAATATGTTGGGTGAAGATGACAAGCAGGAAGGAAGATGTACCCATCTGTGCTCTAGCTCCATTTTGACAGGGGCCATCCTGGACTCGTCTACTTCTACCGGCTGCCAGCGATCTATGGGCCCGCAGGCATTGGACCAGGTTCTTAACGGGGCTCGCCTCTCATCCGCCTGCAGGGACAACAGAAAGTCTTATTGACACAGATGTGATCACGGCCTAGCCATCTTTATTACCTCTTCTTTATTGTCTTTGATGATGACGACTACAGGTTGCTGCAGTTTATTCTCTGTATGAGGGTTAGTTATCAGTGGACAGTAATGCCACAATATGAATGTGTTCAAACAGTGGCTCACTTCAGGTCATTAACACTCCCAGCTTCTACTCCAGCTATCTAATCAGCGACACGGGGTCACCTGGGCTCATGACAGGTGAATGCAATTACTTTCCTGACAACATAAACATGGAGCAGGCCTGTATGTAGAGCTTGAGAAACAGTAGGCAAAGTAAAGCAAAAAATAAAAGAGTATGATCATAACTGGAACTGAAAAAAAAGCATGAGTTACCTTGAGAAAGGTTTCATTGATGAGAACAAAGTTTTAATGGAGGAGTTAATCTCCCAACTGATTGCTCAATAAATAGTCATTAATTATTAAGAATATATATGAACTGAGTGAAATAGTTAAAAACAAAAGGGGGTAAATATGAATACCCTGTTGCACTTCTCAGCTGAAGCACCTGTAGGGCAGCACTACATGTCTAAACTTTTTGTATTTTAAATCTTCCTCGGACCTACTGATTGAGACCGGGTCTGTTGAGCCCCCTGATGCTCACCTTCTTGTGTAAGTCCAGCAGGGGCTTGGAGTCGCAGAAACCAGTCTTGGCCATGAGCACAGCCGGAGACGTAGTTCCCGTGCCGGGCCGCTGCAGCTACTTATCCACGGGCGTCGGAGGAGGAGGCCTGGAGCAGAGAGAGAGCCGCCATGCTGCACAGAGAGCCGCTGATAAAGACGGACAGGTGGGCCACACTGATTGGGGGGGGAGACACCGGTGACGGGTTAGGATCAGGACTTCCGGTCGACGTTTTGAGAAATTAAAACCACGTTTTGCTCCACGTGACTAACGAGGTTTATGTTACGTTGAAATGACCTAAAGTTCAGGCTTATGGTTCAGTGTGAACTAGACATTTTGTTTTATTCACCTTCTTTTACATGTTCGAGGGAAACAAGATGATGTAAATCTTTTTCTATATTATGCATTTGAATTAAACAATACTTACTACAGCCTGAAAATGCACCTTATAAATAACAGTGTCATAATCAGGGCTGCACCAGTTTATTTAGAAATACGGAGGTCAAGAGTGCAACGTCCCAAAGAGCATTCATACAAAAAGTCTGGTTTCCTCAGACATTTTCTACATTAATTTAACTGCCAATAAAGACTTTTTGAAAATATTACCTCCATAAACATTTATCTAAATTCAGCTTCAAAGCCTTCCCACGATGACCGATATTTGATTCTGGTGGAGGAATACCAGATCTTGTTGTTTTAATGT